TTTCAGCTGATATCTTGGTTGCAGCCAAAGAAACTTAACTAATATATTTTATGATTTACAGACTCCCACCTGCCACACTCTGATGTCACCTCTCTTCGCCTCTCAGCCACCCAAGCCTTGCCTTTCCTCACTCACACCAACCACATTCCCACCCCAGTGCCTTTGCACTTGCTGATCCCTCTGAGTGACATTGTCTGACTTCAGATCTTCTTCTGACTGCTCCTTTGTCCCATTTAGACTTTTACTCACCTTTTACTTGGAGAGGTTGTCTCTGATCCCCTGAACTAAAGCCACAGCCCTGATACAGCCCTGATACTTTCCTAATTAGGCCTTATTGGCACATACGATGTATTGCTTATTCTTTGCCTTTTTGCTTACTGTTAGTCTTTGCTCACTAAGCTTCAAGAATTACTGTAAGTCCAAGAATGCAGGGACTGTGGTTTGCCTGGATCTCTGATATATGCCTGGCACATGTAGGTATTCAATAAATATTTTGTGAAAGAATAAGCTTTTTAGGTATTGTAATATTAATATTCAAAAAGTTGGGATTAAAGGCAACTTCAATGGCGTCACAGATGATCCCGTGAACTGAGGAAGGGAGCGCATAGCTCGGCTGGAGAACCTCAGCGAGCGTGGTCATTCTGCTGGTCCATGACTCTGAGCACTGTTCAAAGCTCTCTGAAAATCTAAAGGCACAGTACTAGTACCTCGCTGTTACTCCTGAGAGGGCATACTGGGAGTTCGGTATGGGGCTCGGGCAAGACCGAATGGGGTTCCTCACTGAACTGCAAGGAAAACCCAGACGTGCGCCATTTTTATTTCCCATGCGTCGTGAGTTACTGAGGGCTGTTGTCAGTGGACCGCCATGAGAAGGGCTGTGTGGCAGCTTTGATACATGTCCCCAATGTTCTCTACTCTCCTCCCATGGGATGTGGGACTCTGTCTTCTATTCTTGATTCTGGGCGGGCTTGTCTTTGCTTTAACCAATAGAGAGAGGCAGAAGTGATACAATGTGACTTCCAAGGCTGGGTCAGAAAAGGCCAGGTAGCTTCCATCAACTCCTCTTGGGACACCACAATGGGAAGCAGACAGCAGGTAAGAGGTCTGACCACCCTGAGACCCTCGTGCCAGAGAGGCCATAGGAAGATGCTCCAGCTGCCAGCTCCACAAAGCTATCAGCGCGTGGCAGGCACCAGCTGCCAGCAGGTGAGTGAGCGGCCTGGGACGTTCAGACCCGCCGAGCCTTGAGACGGCCGCGGCCCCCGCCAGCGTCTGACTTCAACCACGTGCGGGACTCTGAGCAACGACTGCTCAGCTGTGCCCTTCTTGACCCACAAAATCACCAGCAAAAAGAAATGGTCGTTTTCAGCTGCCAAGTTTCGGGGGAACACGTTAGGCATCAACAGCAAAAGGAATAGGTTGTTTTTTTAGCGCTTTCTCCTTCACAGAGACTTCCGGAATCCTAACGTCCCAGAGTCTCCTGGACATCACCACTGGATGATGTCTTGTCTTGACCCATCAGCATCTCAAACTTAATGTGTTGAAAAATAAACGATCCCAAGCCCTCCTCTCACCCCTTAGTAGTCCTTGTCCGTTGAACGGCACCTCCTCCCCCAGTTTTGTAATCAAGAATTCTGGTATTGTCCTTAAATTCTTCCTTATTCTCAGCCCCACATCGAATCCCTCTGAGAGGTCTGGTGGTTTTACCTTCAAAATGCATCTCGAATCCATCCGCTCTCCACCGCTACTGCCACCACCACCGTCTAAGCCACCGCCATCTGTCGTCTGGCCACCACTGCAGCCTCCTGCAGCCCTTGCCTTTCACGTCAGCCCTTTCTTCTCACAATAGCCAGTGGGATTTTCTCCGGATAGAAATCAAGCCAGGGCGCCTCCAGTGGCTGCCCATGGCACCGGGCACAAACCTAACCTGGCTGCGGTCAGCACATTGCCTCCTTCCCCACGGTGGTGCCTTCCCTGGTTCCAGTTTCCAGGGGTTTCAGTTACCCATGGTCACCTGGGGTCTGAAAATATTAAATGATCAATTCCGGAAACAAACAAACCGTAAATTTTAAAGTGCGCGCCACTCTGAGTGGCGCGATGAAATCTTGTGCCGTCCCTCTCGGATCCACCCTTTATGTGGATCACCCTTTTGCCCAGCTCTCCGCGCTGCAGACGCTCCCTACCCATTAGTTACTGGCTGGCCGTCTCAGTGATCAGATCGCGGCCCAGGCGTTAGCAGTGCTTGCGGTCAAGTAGCCCTTATTTTACCTTAATAGTAGCCCAACGTGCAAGAGTAGCCATGCTGGGAATTCAGATATGCCAGAGAGAAGCTGGAAGTATATGTTTGGATAAGAGAAACAGTATACGAGGGTTCAGTACTACCCACAGTTTCAGGCATCCATTGGGGCTCTTGGGATGCATCCCCCGCAGGTAACGGGGTCTACTGTATAGTGCTCCCTGGCTCGAACTTGACCTCTGGCTCCTTTCTTTCCACTCTTCTCCATGGCGAGTGGAACCAAAAGGAATCAGGATTTCCAAGAAATGTAAGAAAGTTGCCAAATTAGTCTCTATCCCCTTTCCTATTTCTGGGATTTTGCCCTCCCCTGGGAGGAGACCCCCAACTCTGCTCCTGCTACCCTGGTCTTCTCTCTGGTCTTCACCACACCCAAAATGTTTGCCTCAGGCCCTTTGCATGGGCTGCACCCTCTGCCTGGCCTGCCCTGTCTCTAGCTGCCCCCTGGCCGGCTCCTTCCCATCACTTGAGTCTGAGGTTGAATGTCGTGCTCAGAGAGGCCTTCTCCGACTATCCCTTCCACGGAAGTTTCCCTCTGATATTCTCCATTTTGGCTTTTTCTTCATGGTTCTTGTCATTGCATTTATTTATTTGCTTTTAGATTTTGTCCACTGTTTGTCTCCCTAGTGCTTGGTGAATAGTTAACACTCAATAAAGAGGCTGTTGTCTGTTGATGTGGATAATAGCAGTAACTCATGGTATTCTTGGAACTATACTGAGCATTAATTCACAGCCATGTTGTGTGGCAGGAAGAACAAGGGTCATCCTCATGTCTTGGACAGGAAAAGTGAGGCCCAGAGAGGTTAGGGGACCTGGTTGAGGCCATCTCGCTTCTAAGAGGTGGAACCCAGGTCTCCCCACTTCTGGCCAAACGCTTTTCAACAGCAGAAGTAACAAGGGACGCATGCTAGAGAGGCATGTGGCAGCACCAGGCCAGGTCCCTGATCCTAAATTCTCCATCTTCACCCCCTAGTTTCTTACCAGGAAGCCTGGCTTCCACATTCCTGCCTTCAGAAAGGGACAAAGAGAGGAGGGGTGGTCTGTGCTGTCGGAGGGGGAACACCACTTCCGCCTTCCCGCTGGCGCGGTCTGGCCCCTTAAATACCACAGAGATGAGCTGGGGGCCGTGGTCCTGACTCGGGCAGCAGCCTGGGATGCTGGGAGCCTGGGATGCTGGGAGCCCGGGATGCTGGGAGCCTGGCCCCGGCTGCGCCCTGGGGTTCATCTGCATCAGAACTGGGGTCTGTAGGCAGCGTGTGGCTCCAAGCCCATCTAAACACACAGTGCATTTTTGTGCGTGTGCACGGCAGGGAGGGGGGTGTTGCACAGTGGGGTGGGCTGCTCAACTGCTTTCTGTGAGTTGGGACCCCTGAATATTTTTAAACTTATGAATTCGTTTGCTATTTGAGGTGAAGCCAGAGCACACACATCTTTGTTTGCATTTTAAATTTTTTGGTAAGAAGTTAAAATTGAGTTTTTTCCTTGAATCTTGTCCAAAAAAGTGAAAGGAATGTTAAGAATGTTGCCTCAGTTTTCTGGTAATACAAAGGATGCAGCGATGATGTCTCTTCTGCTTAAGGAACTTGGTGATGGCTGAAAAATCAATGATCAAGTCTGGATTGACTGCTGCGTTCAAAACACTTCCCTCCACGGCCCACACTCCGATTCTAGCCCTCGCCCCAAACCTCTCACCACTCCCCAAATGTGCTTCTCCCCTGGTTTAAGCTTGTTCGCTCAGCTGGCCTGCCCTTCCTCCTGGAGCCCCCTACTGCGTTCGACTTGGCTCAGACACCCCGGCCCTTACGAAGATGTGACTGATCCCCCCAGACTTGGTCTCTCCATCTTCTGGGACCTCAGGTGACTGAGGAAATAGGTGACTATTTCCATGATTGAGCCTGTTATGGGGCTTTGATGTATGTTTACACATGTACCCTGTGAAGCAGCAGATTAGGATCGTTATAGTAACACGACACAGTGCCTGGCACATTGTAAGGGCTCAAAAATGCCGAGTGCAGCTGAGGGCCCTGTGGCTCGGTATCTGTGCTCTGAAGGTGGAGGCCTCCGCTTGAATCCTGCTGTTGCCTCTTCCTTCCCGTGCTCCTCTCTGAGCCTCGGTATCCTCATGTGTAGAAGGGGGCATCCGTGACGGCGGCCACCTCACAGGGTTTGTGTGGGGGGCGGGGGGCTGCGAGGACGAATGATGGATGCAGAGCGCGCCGCACAGTGCCTGGCCTCCAGCAAGTGCCCCGGAAACGGCAGCTCTTGCTGATGTGAAGCCTGAGGTCCGGTCCCCACCTCCTAGGGAGGAGGCCTGATGTGAGAGAGAGAACAGGCCCTTCCTAGAGGGGCTGCCCTGCTAATGCCTGGGCTTGGTAAGGGCGGGGGCGAGCCCTGTTCAGAAATCTGGTCCAGGCACCGTGGGCCCTTCCTGCACTCACGCCCATCCCCCGCCCTGCCCCGCCCCGCCCCGCCAACACACAGGATGTCTTATCCAATTTTAATTAAGTCACATACAATTGAGGCTACCAGGCCCCACCAACGTCATTAGAAACCACCTGGGATTGTGGAGGGGACAGGAAGAGGGGGTGGTAAGAAGATGCATTCTCCCCTGCTTTTCCCTAAAGGGACCAAACCCATCAGGAACTGCCCCAAGGAGATGGTGGCACAACGCCACCCCCCTGCCCCCCCACCCCGCCCCGGAGGGACTGAGTGAAAGCTGCCCAGAGGCCCGCAGGGTGTGGTAAGGCCACAATCAGGCTCTTTCTGCCCCAACCTCAGAGAAAAATGCAGGTCCTCTGGGGACAAACTCTGGGGGAGGCAGGGTTGGGAGAAGCAGGAGGGGCTCCTGGACCCACTCTGTCCCCTGGGCCAGGCAGCTGCACCCACCTGGTGCTGGGATGTGGAGTGAGGCAGCTACAACCCGCATCAAGGATCAGGGAGGGTGCTAATGGCCCTGCTTAACCTGTGAAAGGTTTGCGCTCCCATGTGCAAGAGCTGGAAACACAGGGTGCAGGTGGTGGGGAAAGCGTGCTTTCCCATGATGTATGCCATTCCTAGGCCACTTCCGAGTGGCTTCTGGGGGTGCCAGGGCCAGGCACGGGTACAACTGTTCCTTCGCCCCCTTCCACAGGGCCTGGTGGTCTCTCAGAGAGGGAACATTGGCCCATTTCCCTCCTCAGCCCGGCCCCCGCTTCCCTCCTGCAGAAGCTGGGCTTGTGGGGACGAAGTTGCGCTGCCTGCCCCGGAGCCCAGGCGTGGGAGGTGGCCCCTTCCACGGGCCTGTGGTGGGGTCACACCCTCATCTCCCTGAGTGCTTTGCTACACTGTTCCTTTAAGGTTGTGGCCTGTCCTCTGCCCCAAAGGTCATGTGGAGGTAAAAGGCCGGGGGAGGGGGGCAGGAAGGGGGTGCGTCACTTTCCTGCTCCCCAAGACCTAGTGCGCTCTCCCTGTAGGGGTCCCTCCTCCTTAGGCGAGGACAAAGCCCCTCAAGTAAAAAAGGGGATTGAGAGAGGATTGGCAGCTTTCTGACATTACTTGAGACACTGGTTCCATTTCGACCACCAGAGTCCGAGGGGTCTGTAAACAATGTCCCCTTGAGGCCGCCCTTTCTGGGTGAGAGAGGCCTTCACTGCATGCGCCGCCATTCCCCTGGGCCGGCCGCCTGAGGTCCCGCAGCTGCTCACACCCTCATGCTGCTCTTCCCGTCCTCCTGGGGGCTGGGCTCCTCCTGAACCTTCTTCATCTCCCAGCCCCTGACCCAGGTGTAGGCCGAGGAGCCCCCCAGCACCATCATGTTGCTCGTCCACCAGAGGAAGCTCTTGGTCTCCTCGTAGTACAGGACGGCCAGCACCGTCTGGGCACAGGCCTTGGCTGTGCCTGACACGTTGTGGGTCAGGGGACTGGTGACCTTGATCTGCAGTCCTGTCACGTAGCCGATGGCAAAGCCAAACAGTCCTCCCAGCGTCATCATGCCCCAGAAGTGGGCACTGTACAGCTGGGCAAAGTGGCGGAGGGTCTGAAGCTCCCCCAGCAGCAGGAGCAGGGGCAGGAAGAGGACGCAGGCATTGACGTTGTTGTAGAAGGTCAGGCGCCAGATGCTGCCGTCCACCGCAGGGAGCACCTTCTTGGTGTAGATGGCGTTGAGCGAGACGCAAAGGCTGGCTAGCACGCCAAAGAGGGTGCCTGTCCAAGACAGGGTACCCTCTGCCCCCTCCTGGTCCACGCCAAGCCAGAAGCCACCTGTGGTGGGGAGAGGAGACAGGGAGGGAGATGAGGATGGAGGAAGGACAGAGTTTTGCTGCCAAAATGCACAGACTGTAATGCTGCCCTTACCACCCGGTCCTCCCCACCCTCCCTGCAATAAATGCGTCCAAAGTCTCTATTGTATTCAAAGCACCACACAAGGGCTGGGGACGTGGCCCCAGGCAAGAACGCCTCTGCACAGAGCACGCACTCTAACAAAGGAGAAAGACATTAAAACAATTCACTGCCCAATTACTTCTTTAATTACAATTGTAATGAGGTCCATGAAACAGTACTGGGTGCTGTGAGAACCTGTAACTTGGTGACTGTGCTGGCCTCAGGCATCTGGAAAGTAGCACTTGAATGAGTTCTGTAGGATGAGTACTTAATGGTTAGTGACCTTGGGCAAGCGATCTAAGGTAGTGGAGGCTTCCTGGTCTGTAAAACGGAAGCCTATAGTGAGTCAGAATCACTTGCAGCTTGAGGTCATTTGGGACAGTCACACTTCACGCTTTCTTAGGCTCTTATCCTATGTCACCTCCTGCTCACAGGGCCTCCATGGCTCCCCACTGCCCACCATCAGCCTGTACTCCCCGGCCGGGCACCGGGCTCCCCGCACCTCTGCCAGCTGTCTCTGTCACGTGATCACCCTGGCTTATTCTCTGATCTCCCTGCTTCTCAAGCGGGGGCTCAGCGTCCGTGTTTGTCTCCTGCACCAGAAACACATGCCTCCTTCTCAGAGTTTCAACTCATTGTTCAAGGTCAAAGTTAGCCTCTCCAGGGAGCGAGTCTTTCCTGGTACCCCCAGCCCTCAGACCTCTTCCTGCCTCCACTTCCCTTTAAGATCCCTGGCCTGACCTAGGCTGCTAGGCACCTGCCCACCGGGACAGTGCGGCCACTTTAGCTAGACCCCACCTTCCCAGAGGCAGGGCTGAATCTTACATACATTGCATCCCCTACTACAGCCTCAGGCAATGTGGGGGAGTAGAAAAAGTTTTGCTGTCAGAGAGATTTGGGCTCTGCCATTTAGAGGCTGTGTGGCCTGGGAAAATTCACATAACTTCTCTGAGCTCCCATTTCCTTGAACTGCAAAGATCTGGGTCACTCTCTTGAGCCAGTCCACTCTGCACCTTGCAGCCAGAATGACCTTCCTAAAGCACAGGTGTGCTGGGTCACGTCCTGGCTTAAAGCTCCTCCGGTGCCTCCCCCCCACTCACTTAACTCGGGCAGCCTCGCATCGGGTGCATCTTGCTTGGGCCCAGCCATGGAGAATGCACACGCTCTGTCCTCCTTCCTTACCCCCTTCTAGTGCTTCCTCCGGGACAGCTGCTCAGATGTCCCCCCTCCCCAACCACCTCTCCCTCCCCGCCCCAGCCAGGATTCCCACAGCAACTTCTATGTCCTCACCATAGCTCTTACTGCTCGATCTTAACTCACTGCCTGCCATGTGTCATCACCATGATCTCCAGGAGTGTAGGCGCTGTCAATCTTTTCCAAATTTGTCTCCTCAAAGCTTGGCACAGTCCCTGGCATGTGCCTGGTCTCAATGAATATATACTGACTGAATGAATGAGGTTGCTCTGGAGGTGGTTGTGAGGATTAAAGGAGACAAGGCACCCATGGGATCGTAGGCACGTGCTCCCAGCATTCTCTTTCCTGGCAGAGCCTTTGCAAACAAGTTACCCACGGACCTGCTGGGGGTGGAGGTGCTTAGCCTGAGCATCTTCAGCCCTCCTGCCGGTTACCTTCTGAGTCCAGAAGGGACTGTCACCTCAAGGTTCCAGACCTCAGAGGGACTCTCAGCTAGAAGGAGCTTTGAAAGGCACTGTGTGACCTGGGAGCGGGGAGGAGAAGGGGTCTGGAGTAGTGGCCTCCAACCTGTCTTTCCCAACAAGGGGGAAGGAAGAGGAGACACTGCAGAGGGAAACAGGTCCTAGGCCAGCAGAGAGCACCAGCCTCCCCGGCCCCTCCCCCTTGGGTTGGCCAGCGGCTGCACCTCTCAGAAGCAATCTCACCATCAGCTACTTTTATTACTTTTCGGAACTGGGCCCAGTTTCCCTAGTGACATCACCTTCCTGCAGGCAAATTTTCCCACCAAGAGCACCCCAAGCACACACACAAGGTCTGTGGGACTGAAGTGGAGATCCCTGGGGCAGATGGGGAAGTGTGGAAGACAGCGGGGCCTCCCCTTCGCGGGGCGGGGCCGGGGGGAGCAGATGAGAGAGATATGCCCTGGGGGGGGTTAGCAGCTCCTCCCACTCTAACCTCCACCCTCCTCCCCTGCCCCCACCCGCAACTTGGGGCTAGACTGAGCAGCCCTGGATGTGGCAGTTGCTCAACAAGGGGAACATTTTCTAGGACAGGTGGCATGGGATGGGCCCCTCCCAGGCAACCAGTGCCCCTTGACCTGGGACTCTGAGACACCAGCAAAGAATATGTAGGTCAACCAAGATGAACTTTCCAGCACCAAGAAAAGCCTGCATAGGTTTAAAGAAGGCTCGGATTCCGGGGTGACAGAGGCCCGGGGGGCAGGATGCTGGGGTGCTCTTACCCAGTGTGCTGCAATAACACTATAAATGTTCTATAATCTAGACTGTGCACAACAGTCACCGCTGGCCACATATGGCTACTGAGCGCTTGAAAAGTGGCTACATAATCAGGTTACTATACCTGTCACTGAGAGGCTAAATTTTCAAAATTTCATTTAGTGTGAATTACAGGAAGTCTTCGTCCATAGATTCTGCAACTAAAACAACATATAACTAAACCAATTTTACCATAGGCTAATTGATTTAAATGAAGGTTAAGTTCCTGTGCATCTCATCATTATTTTAACAAAACGATGTTATTGGAAGACCTGCTATAATTTAAATTGAAATAGACATGTGGCCAGTGATTACTGTTTCAGATAGTGCAGCTTGACCTGTAGGAGGCAAGAACAGAGCAGAGTGTTTAGAAGCACAGGCCTGGCAGTCTGGCCAATCCATTTGCATCCCAGCCTGGGCACTTCCTAGCTGTGTGGCCCTGGGCAAGCAACTTAACATATCCGAGCCTCAGTTTCCTTGCTTGGATGGAGATGGTCACTGTGATGCTACCACCCAGGGACCTCTGGGGAACAATGGAGATGCTGTTTGTGAAATGATTAGAACAATGTCCCCATGAACAATGGTGATTTTTCTGAGGGTCAAGTACGGGAAGACAGCTAACGTCTCTCAAAGCACATGTCCTGCCACTGTCTCAGGTGTTATTGTGAGCCTGCAAGCTCAGGGTGATGGTGTATTTTTTAAAAGATGCGTTGTCTTCTAAAAAAGAAACTGGATGGGGAGTCAGGTCGGGGAGTCAGCAGCAACAGAGCATAGCGAGCACAGTGGTCAAGTGTGCAGAGCCTGACTGCTCGAGATCAGATCCCAGCTCTGCCACTTACTGGCTATGTCATCTTGGACAAGTTGCTTAACCTCTCTGTACCCTGGTTTCCCCTCAGTGAAATACAGATTATAATTTCACCTTGTATGAGGGGCCCTGCCTGTGCCCTTAACTTGTTGGGTGACCTCAAGCAAGTTATTTGCTCTCTCTGGACTTGACGATCTTCCTCATATGACTGTGGCATCCCAGGAGCTGGGGCAGATAAAGTCTGAAGATGCTTGGTAGGGTTATTCCTTAGGGTTCTGGCTGCCATGCCTCCCGTATTTCCCATGGCCCTGGCTGGCCACTCACCAATGATGATGCCGCAGGTGAGCAAGGCATAGAAGGAGGTGGTCTGCTTGAGCAGCAGGTAGGAGAGCAGCACATTGAAGACCGTGGTGAGGGAGCGGCCCACGTTGTAGAAGGCCACACCCACGTACTTCAGGCAGAGGTTATTAAAGGTGATCATGCTGATAAAGACCACCGACAGGGGCAGGACACTCCGGGCCACCCTGAGATCCAGGCGTAGAGTGGGGAAGTCCAGTGTACCAGGACAGCAGGTGGCCAGTGCACTGAGACCCTTGCACAGCAGTGTGGTCACCAGGCACTGGTAGAAAGTGACGAAGATGGGGGTGTCCAGCTGCAGCGAGGGGCTGTCCAGCAGGTACTTGTTGAGAAACACCATGGAGATGGAGGTGACCCAGTAGAGAGAGACCACCAAGGCGATCTGCAGTGCCCGAAGCAGAAACGGCTTCTCCTGGCTGGCCTCTGCCTCGCTGTAGGGGTCGGGGCCTCCCATCAGTGCCATGTGCAGGATCCTGGAGCGCTTCAGAGGGGTCCTGTTCATGGCAGCAGAGGAGCTGGGTCACTGCACAGCCAGAACTGATTTTCTCGAGTGAAGGGCGGTAAGCTCAAATCTGCTTTCTGCAGGCTGCAGCCCTCAACTGTCACATGGGGGGTGGCCTAGAGGCCTCCCCACCGTCACTTTGCATGAAGAGGTTCGCTTTCAGCGTGAGCCTCACAACCTGCTCCCACCCCAGGGGCCTCATGAGACAAGACACAGGGAAGGGCTGGTGGACAGGCAGATGACTTCTCAGGGAAGAAGGGGCTGGAGCCCAGGGGAAAGGAATGGAAGGAAAAGTGGGAGGAGGAGGAGGAGGAGGAATGCAGGGCAAGGGTGCTAGACACTTGCGGAGGACAGGGTGGGGAAGACGTGCAGAAAGAGGGAAGCATGGGCTGCTGTGGAAGAGAGGGGTTTGTAGGCAGAGAGAGGGAGGCCTGCCTGCAGGGAGTCGAATGGAGGGAGGGCGTGCGGGTGTGTCTGGAAAGGGGGTGCAGGGGTGGCCAGAAGGGCTCAGGCCGGGATCGGAAGGATGCAGGAGGGGGGCCGGCCGGCGCTTGCCCACAGCGCGCCGCGTTCCCGGGCCGCGGCTCCGGCTTCGGAGGAGCCGGGAGCTTCCCGACGTCCGCTGCCGCTCTCGGGGAGGCGGGCCCAGGACTCATTTCCTGACACGCCCCGGACCTCCTCTTAAAGAGCCCGCACGCCCAGCGTCACTCTTAAAGCCATAGCCCTAGAGAGACGGTCTTCGTAGTTAGCTCGCGTCGGGGCCCCGGCCACCTCCCAGCCCTTGTGAGTGAGGATCAAGGTGGGGGAATCTCAGCAGACAAGAAAGGATCCTCTGGGTGTTGAGCCTCGGCCCCCTTCCTGCAAGCGCCGCCGGCTCCGTCTTTTCCAAAGGCTGACTCCCTCCAGGGGGCTCATCTAAAGGTGCATCTGCCCCGACCCCCGGGAGGGACTGCGCTGCCCATGCTCCCCATTCTTGCCACCGTCCCGCGTCGCTCCGCGTCTAGAGACACCCTCACCCCCGCCAGCCTCCCAGCTCACTCTTCCCAAACCTCTTTACAGTTCCCTCTTCCCCTCGACTTTCACCGCCCCAGCCCTCCCCCAAACCCAAATTCCTAGCAGCGTTCCGAGACGCCGGAGGCCAAACAGACCCCACAGAACCTCAATTTGTCTTTGCGTCCCCCCAATTCCAGACCCCCGCCCCTCGGCGGTTGGATCCGAGGCTCAACGCATCACCCTCTCCCCGGGCTCTCTCCACCTTGCAGCACCCTCCTCTCCACGCCGGGCCCAGCCGCAAGCTCAGGCCCCGTGGCTGGCGTTCCCGGGAAGCGAGAGCGACCCTGCGGCTCACCTCGCTCTGCGCTGTCTGTCCGCGCCTCCCGGCGCGGCACCTGCAGCAACGCACCTGCAGCGTCGCACCCAGTGCCGCGCCCGCGGGAGACGACTTCCTGTTCCCAGCCCCGGGCGCGGGCACCGCGCCAGCCGCGCTGCCGGCTCCCCGCTGCGGGCCCGGGGGCAACCGAGGCCCCAGTCCACCCTCGGCCCCAGGTTATCCCGCTGGTGGCGGGAGCAGGTTCCCTCCTTTTTCCAGGGCCACCCCAGCTCCGGGTACCTCGCCCCGGTCGGCCGCCCAGAATCCCCCGCTCCAGTTACCGCAGCTTGCAAGTCCCAGGATCCGGCTGCATCCCGGACCCGTCGCGCCCCAGGCCTGCGCTTCCAGAAGTGCGTGCGGGTAACGGCTCGGATTCTCTCCGCTCGCAGGGAGTGGAAGGTCCCCGCCCCCGGCCCCCCTCCACTCGCAGGGACCGGCCTGGGAAGTCGGTCACCAGCCCGGGAATACCACTTACCAGGCAGGTGCGAGGGCTGACTTCTCTCCCTGGTTCCCGCTCAAGCACCAACGTTGGGCGGCTCACTTCTCTTCAGTTCTCATTATTGTAAAACTACGGGGCTGGACTACGCCAGGTGGTCTCAGACTCCTTACTCAGAATTCTAGCTGGTGTGGTTCAAAGTAGGGAGTAGCAGGTGTTTGTTATATTTTAAACACCATTTAATTAGTACCACTTAATTTGCTGGTGAGATGCCTGAGATTTGCTTTAAAATACCCACAGTAATCACCAAAAAGAAAAGAAAAAGTTGATGAAACAAAATAGGCAAAGTGTGCATAATTGTTGAAGCTGGGCCCGGGTACCTGGGGGGTTACTGGCATAAGAAGGTTTTACTCCATAAGGATAAGTTCCATAATAAAAAGTAAAACCTACGGAGTACATTTACAGTTTCACATGCTAACTGCACAACCGCTCGCCATAGGAAACTGGGAAGGGTTATGGGAAATAAGCACTGCCCAGGAGCCGCAGGGCAGGTGCAAACTCCCCACTGTGAGCCCTGCCGCAGGCCCCGTCCTCTTTCACCAGCGCCGTGACCCTCATTCTGTGACACCCACACCCTCCCTTCTGTAGGGATGGAACATTCTGCTTCCCAGTTATGGGCAAGTGGAGGACGCCGTCTGGTTACCTTGCCACCTTTGGAATCCAATTATCCCTTTGGGGAAGGAGAGTCTTAAACAAACTGAGCTGGTCATCTGAACCTTACCTGGACAGTCTTGTTCCAGGGTCAAACTTTGAAGGCTGAGGGTTTCAGTAAGAGCAACGCCTGCTCCAGTCTCTTCTCTCTTAGGCCTGGTGTTTCACCACAACAAGTAACTCTGGGACAGACATGAGAAACTTGTCTCTGAGAGGCCCTGGTTTCCTGGAAGGGCCCCTTTCCTTGTCGCATTAACAGGAATTGATTTATCTGATGAATGTGCCGTCACCTGGAGTGGGAAGAGATATATGCTGTATATAGGCCACAGGCACTTCACTGAGAGAGACCCGGGCAGTCTATGCTGGGTGTGTGGGGCACAGCCGGGCTCTCTGCCGGCCAGGAGAGAGAGAAAAATGGATGCTTGCCTCTAATCCCTCCCCTTACACTGTACCCGAAACTTCACCATTAGCTGAATTCAATCCTTTGCATTAAGGTTGTAATAGGTCAATACAGTAAGTTGCACAGATTCCAATCTTTTTTGTTCCCTAGGAAGGAAAGGGGAGGTGGGGATGTTTCTTAGGGGTCTGAGGCCTCAAGGAGTTGTGCACAAACTGTTTACTTTTGAATTTAACTTAAGGAATGTTCATCCATAAAGGGTGAAGCTGAGGTTTATCCAGAGTAATTACCCAGTATGTATACTCGGTGTGAGGCAGTACATGAGGTCACCACCGTGGGAGATGGAAGGCTGTAATAGGCCGGGAAACGGCCTTTTATGGGCGTAGTCCTATTGCCTTGCCTTGGCTGGGAACCACTAATGATGGCAGAAGATGACTTCTACTAGACAGAACCAACCTCCCAGGCGTAGGGGACAGTGATCTGTATCAATAGGGTCTGAGAGCTCCTGGAAAAACACAGATGTTGACTATCTTGCCCCTGAGTTCCACGAGGCCCCCAAAGCTTACTCTACGTGGTGGATACTACTAATTAACTAAAGGCATTCTCCCATTAGTCCCAAATAATGGGAAGGTAGTCACATGGGTTGCCCAGCCAGAGCCCCTCTTTCCCAGCCTCCCTTGTGGGTTGGTAAAACATGTGACTTAGTGGATGGGGATGGGAGGTGATGTGTGTGCTGCTTTCCAAGTGCAGGCCTTAAAACTTGCGGTGTGTGCTCCTCCATGCTCTCATCTCCCCTTCCCATAACCTGGGACCCAAATATGTCTGTATCCCAGCTGTGACCATGCAGGTGAGGTTGATGACTTAGGGCCCTGGGAGCAATAGGACAGAAGGAGCCAGGGTCCCTGGTTGTGTGGCGCTGAGCCACCTGTCCACGTGGCCTGCCTACCTCGAGACTGTTTCGTAAGAGGGACATCAACTTATGTTGTTTATGTCCCCGTGTAGTTATAAAGGGAGCACTTTGTTAGAGTAGCTAGGCCTTCCCCCTTTTGGTTGCTTCTTTTTATTATATGTTCTGTCTTTAACGGAGGCCTGAGGTCCGGAAGGACAGCAGCTGTTTTGTAAATAGGAGACAAAAGATATGAGAAGGAAGGCTAAAGATGACAGAGCAAAAGCATGGAGAGAGCCTGTGTCCCTCTGAGCTTGGGTGACCTGCCGTTGGCTGGCACAGGGTCTGAGGCAGCAGAGTGCGGGGAATGCGATTATCAGGGAGGGAAGCAAAGCCGCAGAGCTGCAGGTGGGGTGGGGAATTACAGAGGCGGGGCCCTTTGACCAGATGGGGATTAGGACTGGGAGAACCAGCAACGGGACGGGCAATTCCAGGGTCTGTTAATAAAAAAACAAGTTCCAATGTGGGGGAGAGGATTCTGCAGGCAAAAGTGGGAAAGCTGTAGAGGATCAGCGAAGGCCTGGCTCCGCTTTAGCAATAACAGTTACCAGACACACCTGTCACCTTTGTGACCTGGTCCAGCTTCTGTTAAGCACGTAGTTTGGGTGGTGCAGGCTCCCCCGCCCCCGCCCCCGCCGACCCCCGATCTAGAATAGCAAAAAGTGTCACTCCCCCAAATTCCTGTAATGGGCGTCTGAGTAATCACCAAGCAGGACGGGTGTGTCTCCAGATTAATTGCTCATGTGTGGAGACTGAGTAACAGTGTTAGTCCTTCTAGCATGTGGCATGATGCTTGGTATGTAATAGGTATATTGGGTTGAATAGTCCTCCCACAAATTCATTATGTGGCCTTATTTGGAAATAAGATTTTTGCAGATGTAATTAGTTAAGTTAAAAAAAGTCCATGCTGGGTTAAGGTGGACCCTAAATCCTATGACTGATGTCCTTATAAGGCACAGAGATTGTCCCTTAACCCATCTGCCCCTACGCACGCATAGCCTCCCTCATTATCAACAGCGCCCCCCGCCCTCTGGGTGGTACATTTGTTAGAATTGATGAACCTGTGCTAACACATCGCTCTGAGTCCGTAGTTTATATTAGGGGACTCTCTTAGTGTTCCGTGGGCTCGGGCAAATGTATAATGACATGTATTCACCATTATAGAATGCAAAGTATTTTCACTGCTGTAAAACACCATTCAAGTTTAAAGGCTGGTAGGGAAAAAAAGATCACGTTCACAAGTGTTGAGGTTTACTTTGATTGGTTTGGTTTGGGTCATGTGGCCGCTCTTAACCAATCATTGTGGCCAGGCAGATACACTCAGCTTCTGGTTTAAGTCCTGCATGGTTAGCTCCACCCCTGGACCAGACAAAGTGTTCCGAGAGCGGGGTGGGGAGCTCTGGAAATGAAACTTAGGAGGTGTTGCCAGAATAAGGGGATAGATGCCAGATGGGCAAACTACCTGTATCCACAGTGAGGGGCCTTCATTGGATTGGGGACAGGGCACCTGGAAGTTTGCACAGAGCTCCTCCCTCCTCTGCTCCTGTGGCTCCACTTTGTTCAGTGCTTTCCCACATTCCCCCCCTCAGTCTGGCTAGCTTCTTGTCCTTTAGGACTCAGGGTAGACATCGCTCCCTTAGGGAGACTCTCCAATTAGATTAAGTCTCCCTGGCGCAGTGTTCTTGCTGTTTCCCTTTGTTGATGAGCTGTGAAGAGCATGCACAGGGGGCATCTACTCCCTCTTTAGATACGAATGTCCCC